AGGGGAGGGGGTGTGCTGGGCAGCCTGTGGAGGCTGGTGCGGCGGCACCCGCGCTGGGAGGGCCTCACAGGTCGTGAGTTTGGGTTTCGGGCTCTGGGAGGGTTTGATGAAAGGGATGCTACCTGGTTTGCATGCCTAAAAGCTCCCCTGGCTGCTGTGACGAGGCTGCAGGTTGAGGGGGGAGGGCCCTCCCCTGGGGTGTGATCCAGCATCCAGAACCTGGGGGGCGGGGCTGTGCTGCAGCATCTCTAGGGCTCCCTGAGCCGAGTCGGGTTCTGACCAAGCGTCCCGGGCAGGGGCAGTGCGTGTGGACTGTTACCAGGGCTCCTGCCTCGCACACTTGGCACTGAGACACAGTAATTCCGGGCAGAAGGTGCTGAGCCTGCAGGTAGAGCCATTGCGGAGATGCAGTGATGGGGCGGGGCAGTTGGGGTGCTTGCAGACGGGGTGTGAGTGGAGCCAGGACGCCAGCAGCCCTGGCAGGTTTCCCTGCACAGAACAGCCTCCCCAGGTGGGATCCCCGAGGGGCGGGGCCCGGCAGGAGCCCGTGTGCCTGGCCTCTGGCTTCACGGACCAGGGAGATCCCAAAAGGATTCTGGGGACCAGCAGAGGTTTTACACCCAAACAGCTCCTCGCGAGGCTGGACGTTGTCTCAGGCTCTCCTGGCCCTGACACTGCGCCGCCCGGAACCCATCATTGGTTTCCTTCCGAGCACCCAGTTCCTCTGTTGGAGGGGTGGCCCTCCCACCTAAGCAGGCGAGTCACTCGGTTTCTCTGACCCCGTGTCCTAACGTACACAGTGGAGGTGCCCCTCGTCCGGCTCACTTCACCCCGTGGTCGGTCACAAGAGGGAAGCTGCTTTGAAAACCCACAAAACCCACAAGCTGTATCCTGTCCCCAGCACTGCTGGCTCACGCCCCCTGGTGGCCACGTCAGAGCTGACAGTCGGCTTCACAGTCCACAGGTGACGGGTCCTGGCCAGGCAATGCCGCCCCAAGGACTGCGGATATAGACGGAGACGTGAGGTCCCTGTCCTGGGGGGTCCCACCTTTCTGAGGGGGTGACTGCTGTTTCAATGGCGGGGGAGTCCTCAGTGTCCGTCACTCCACCACGGTCCTGTTCTCCTATATGACATCTTTCACTCCTACAGAAGCGGCCTTTTCAGACTGGGTGGCATGATGGCCAGGTGGTCTGGCCTTACCCAGCAAGGAACGCCCTGGGACATCCCAGCAGCTGGACATCCGGTCCCTGACAAGCTCGCCAGCTCTCGGGACAGCCATCCCGTTGCTGGCAGTGCTCTGGCCACTCTGCAGGCCCCCTGCCCCAGCCCAGGGCTGCCCTCTGTCTCTGGCCTCCCCTGCCTGGGCCACCAGCCCTGTCATCACCTGGCAAGCCTCCCCCCTCTGCTCCCCGCTTTCCTCTCTCGTCCTGCCCGCATCACTGCTCTGCCTCCCTCTGTGGACAGTGACACCCCGAGAGCGGGGCTGTGCTGTCCTTCTTTTCCCAGGTGGCAGTCTGGCATATGATCAGTGGCTGACTGCTGAGCAGCACCTTTCATTGTCACAGTGGATTTCATTTTTCCTGAAAATCACCTGCCCTGTACCTTCCACGTGCCACTCCTGGCTCCTCCCCTCAGTGGCTTCACTTTCCCAACAAGGACCGGCAGGAGTCCTGCCTCCTCCCCCTGAACACGGCTCTGGGTCTGCCCATTCCCAGGTTCCGTACTGTCAGTGATCCTGGTCATTTGTGTTCTTGCTTCCTCTGAAAACTTTCCAGGTCTAGGCATAGCCATGGGATAGACTCTGGCCCCTCCTTCTCCCTCCAAACCCAGAACACGTGAGAACCTACCTCCTTCACTGGGCATACCC